AAGGCAGGCACGGATATTCTCCCCCAATATGAATAAAAATGAGGGCTCTGTGAATCCACACTGAAACAACCCAGGAGAGCGATGATGCCCAGGGAATGCAAGAATGTGGCTCAGCTAAAAACAGAATGACACCAAAAACAGTACCCTAGGTCAGCAAACTGGTCCAAGGGACACAGCCACACCCAGTCTGTAAGCAGAGGGTCCTGTGGCTGCTTCTGTGCTACGAAGGCAGAGCTGAGTGCTTGTCTCAGAGACTGGATGGCCTGCAAAAGCCCATCATATTTACTATCTGATCCTTTATGGAAAAAGTCTGCCACCCTTGCCCTAAGATCACATTCGACTGTGTAGGACTTCTTACCAGAAATTTCTGGTTAAACATTATATTAAAGAACGGTCTCTTCTGACATATCAAAGCTCTGCATAGTCACCACCTCTTCCCTAGTTACGAGGTCAGCCACGTTTGGATAGTTTCGATTATTTCTCTTTTAAAAATACACTTAAGGCAGGCTTCCCTGGTGGTGCAGTGGTTAAGAATCCGCCTGCCAATGCAGGGGACACGGATTCGATCCCTGACCCAGGAAGATCCCACATGCCACGGAGCAACTAAGCCCATGCACCACAGCTACTGAGCCTGAGCTCTAGAGCCCACGAGCCACAACTACTGAGCCCGTGTGCCACAACTACTGAGCCCGAGTGCCACAAGTACTGAAGCCCGTGCTCCGCAACAAGAGAAGCCACGACAGTGAGAAGCCTGTGCCCCGCAACGAGAAGAGCAGCCCCCACTCACTGCAACTAGAGAAAGCCCCCGCACAGCAACCAAGACCCAACACAGCCAAAAAATTTAAAATTAATTACTTCAAAAAAAATACACTTAAGTAGACGAGAAAAGAAGTACTGATATTTTTCGAGAGTGCCTGCTATGGGCCAGGCACTTGACACGAGGTACCTTTTTCATTCCCGCAACCCCAAGAGGTAGTTATTACTATCGTCCCAAAACACACGTGCTGATACTGAGCTCAAAGAACGCACTCCTGGCAAGTAGCTTCACTACCCATTCTGCCTTTCTTCAAAGCTTCCTTTATACCTACTGCCTTAGGCAGAGAGCACACAGTTAATAAAATGAGCTGCTTCTAACCAGGCGGTATTATAGAACAGTTAAGAGCAAGTCCTATGAAGCCATCCTGTCTGGGTTTGGATCTTGACTCCACCTCTTATTAGCTGTGTGACCTTGGGAAAACTGCTTAACCTTGCTGTGCCTTAGTTTCCTTAACCGTAGGTCGAGAGTGATACTACAGTAATACCACTATAAGGTGGCTGTATTAAACGAGTTACATACATAAAGTACTTGGAATTGTGCCTGCTGCACAGTTCAGGGCTCTACCAGGGAAGTGTAAAATCAGGGGATTTAGAAGAATCAGGGATTTTTAGGTGAGAGAAACAAGAAATCTGTGAAGCAACACCTAAGTCAAAGGCAGAGCAATACTACATTTTTGTTGAGTAAGACTGCCTTGAGAATCTAAGCACCACTGGTATCAATTTGCTAAAACCATGAGAGAACACCTCTAAAGTGGGATAATGGCCCACTCCTGGGCCCAGGAAAGAGGTGCTTTTAGCGTCTACAAATCTGGCAGTTTGAGAAGAAATGTTTGAAACATCACTTCCCACTTCCCGATAATGACTCCACTATGATGTCACTCAAAGAGGCCACGTGGCTTTTGTTTGAACCACAAGAAGTATGGCAGCTCTTTCAGTCCAGCTCAATGGAAAGCAAAGTTGGCTTCACTATAGCCAATGTGATTACCCTTTAGACGGAGCACACACGTGGGAGACGTGAGTTCACAACAAGACGAACTTACTTTCCACTACTCTAGGCAAGATCCTGAAAGCTGAAGACAATTCTGAATTTCCCACAGCTGAAATCACGCTGTAGGAGAAACTCAAAATCCTGAAGTTGTCACAGACCACACAGGTCAACGGATAAACTCAGGAAAGCACCAAGAGAACTCTGAGCTCTAGAGGGTTTTTTTCTTCTTCAGCATTTACTTTCCCCTTGGCTGGTTTGCAAGACTCATTTTTTACTTTTGTGAACCAAGTCTCTCTCATCCCCAGCCCCTACGTGGCTCCTGTGGGGTGAACTTCTGCTCCGAAGGTGGGCACGTGACTTAAGCCTGGCTGCCTCACTGCGGCTGCTTCAAAACTAGAACACATGACTCAGTGTGGGCCAATGACAGTCTGCTGAGGACATTTTCCTGGCACTACTGGAAAAGAGATACACTCTGGGATGGATAAACCTGTGGCAGGTAAATCTGTCTTCTTCAGTTCCACTCGACAAGAGCCTGAGAATGAAGGCAACAAAGAAGAAAACAGAGCTAAGGGGCAATGAACTGATACCCCAATAACCTTGTTCAAGCATCAGGGTCCAGTCATGCTTGTAGACAGCGGTACCACCAGACCTCCTCGGTATAGGAGCCAATTACCATCCTCTGCTTTTTCTGGCTTAAGCCAATTAAAGTTGGCTTTCTATAGCTTGCAAACAGAAGTCTTCTGGCCAAATACATGTAAATAAATAAGTACTACGAAATAAACAAGCAACAGTTGCGGGATCATAGTGAGCATTCCAATTCCACTGAGGAAAAATGCCATGTCACGTGTAAAACCACAATAAATAATAGAGACATGAATAAAAGTGAAAACTAGGGGCTTCCCTGGTGGCGCAGCGGTTGAGAGTCCGCCTGCCGATGCAGGGGACGCGGGTTCGTGCCCCGGTCCGGGAGGATCCCACATGCCGCGGAGCGGCTGGGCCCGTGAGCCATGGCCGCTGAGCCTGCGCGTCCGGAGCCTGTGCTCCGCAACGGGAGAGGCCACAACAGTGAGAGGCCCGCGCACCGCAAAAAAAAAACAACACAAAAAAACAAAACCAATTCCACTGAGCAAAAATGCCATGTCATGTGCAAAACCACAATAAATAATAGAGACATGAATAAAAGTGAAAAATAAATAGGTGGTTTCCTACATAAGAGCCTGACTCCTAATATCCTTAGAAGAGAAAAGGGCTTTTTTAAAGGAATCAAGCCTAGCTTCTAATTCTGATGATCTTCAGATTCTCTTCTTTAGAAACTGATGTAGTTTGAAAGTGTGCTGTTTCTTTGTGGAGGTGTATTTGTCCCCCCCACACATATACATACACATACACACACACACACACGCGCGCGCGCGCGTGCGCCAGCTCGCATAATAAAAGGAACTAAGATTTGAGGATTAGAGTGGAAATACTTTGCCTATTAACAAAAATTTGTGAGTGATCAATTGGAAAAATGTCCTCTTCCCTCATGACTCTAAAACTGATACAGGTCACCAAAAATGTTGACATCAATTTTATAGTTCTGGAGACTTTATAAAATAAATCATATTTACAGATGTTTTCTAGCCATTCTATAGAGGAGTGAAATTAGCACCGAGATATTTATCAAAGGTAGCACTGGTGCCGAAGGTGAAATCAGAATTTAAACGTGGTTTCTTCCAAGATCCTTTTGTCTCATTATCTAAAAACAATTAGGCAAGTGATCAGGAAGCAACAAAACAAAGATTCTACAATGAGGGATTTATAAGAGAACAAAGCCCAATAGCACTAACCAGAATCATCGTAATTGTAACGGACTGTTGCTTAATTTAAGATAAAGTATCACTGCTCTTGAGTATTAATATTTAGAAACAATGTAAAATATCTTTTTAAAAAATTTTACATACTTCCGTTTTTAAGGACCACATAATGCTCTTGAAGTAAAATATTACAGCGGGGAAGCTCTACAATGTTTTCACAGACTCCCATTCATTAATCAAAAAAATGATATTCACCAAAAGCGCTTGCAGGTAGCACGAGATATATCTCTAAGGGTGGCTTTATTAAAATATTTGTACCCAGGTCCGTAAAGAAAGATACAGAGATTGTTCTAATAACAGAAAGACGGCACAAAACCAGAGACCTGCGTGTTAAATCAGCCCGCCTCTATTTCCTGGGGCTTGAATGAGACAGAAAAGCTAGAGGCAAAGACTCCCCACTGCCCCCAGTCCCGACACCCACTTTGCAAACCGTCACGCACCTATATATACAGGAGTTTTACAAGTGCACGTGTTGGCTTGCTGCATGATAGATAAATATATTAAATATAATGTAGTATTATATTTACTCCATACATCAATGATTCACTGATACTATGAATATATTTATGTGATGTCAATAATGCAGGGTGGTTTCGTCTCGATATTTTTAAAGGACAAGGCACCGTAGATGAGGGAAACGTTAACACGTCGTGCAGAAGCGTTTCACTTCGGCTAGGAGAGGATGAACGTACCATTTACTTACAGGGATGCTTTATCAGTGGTACAGATTCAAATGGGATAACCCAAGTTTTAGTCATACTTTAACTGTAGCAATTAAACTTACTCTCGCCTCCCTGTAAGGACAAGAATCTGAACAGAAGTCAACACCAAGGCACAAAGATAAGAATCAGATTGGTAGCATTTCCTGGGCATCCGTTTCTTACGTTTATAAAGTCATTTGTGAAGAACCAAAGAAGAGGCCCAATCACCAAGCTATTTAGTGGCCAGTAGTTGACACCAATTTTATAAAGCTAGAGCTAGGGCATATGTCACTGATTTAATATGTAGGGATGTGAAAAAAAGTGAAAACTGAATTACTGCACGTTTAATATTGGGAGAAGTTTTACTTCATCACTGTCATTCTGAGAAAATAAGTAAACACAGGATCTTACTAAGAGGATCAAAAATGCCCTTGGATGTAAATCCTTCCCCCTTTACAAGGCAACCCTCAATAGACTTTGGAACTATTCCTGTGACACTGCTGGACGTGGTGATTTAGAGTCTACCCTCAAAATGGTGGTGTGAAACTCGCCATCAAAAAGGCACTTCATGAGGAAAAGTACGAAGAGTGGGAGGTGACGGCTACGTAAGAGAAGAAAGCGATATCAAATCATTCTTACTTTAGAAATGACTGGAAATCTTCACACACTGCTTCACAGCCAGGCCACTTGCATACGCCATGTCCATACAGAGGATGGCTATGGGGATGCTCCTCATGGGACAAACTGAAAGAAAACACACAGAGGACAAGAGAATAAATTGGCTGCACAGAACCATCCCACCAGACATACAAGGTAAGAGGAGGCAGCCCACGTGGCCAAAGGTGAACCAATCTGTGCTTTCCTCTTCCTGTGGAATTCACGAATTACTTTTGCACGGTGCTCTTCTTATAGCAAGAGTTAAGTTTCAAAATGTGAACAAGTCCAATATTATAAATGTACCACCACGTATGAAAAGTGCTTGACAGGCTTTTTGTTAGAGGCAAACCCCTCTACTCAGACTGCAAAGGATTCGTTAAAAGGCTAGAACTTATCATTTAACCTACCTAATGAAAATGATAAAATCTGTACTCGATTTTGAGATTCTCTCACTGTTTTCTACCCAGAATATTACATATTTTTCTCCCCCCCGCTTCTGCCACAAACAGTATTCCCAAAATTGTATAATCTTTTCACTGGTTAAGTTTATCAAGCAAAGAAGAGTGCAATTAAATAATTTAGAATACAATGATTGAGAAAGTCAAATGTATCCAAGTAGATGATTAACTTAAAAAAAAAAAAAAAAAAAAAGCTAATAGTGGCAGGAAGATTCTATCTCTAAAATTACTAACACCAAAGAGTGAAAGAAAACTTGGCATGAACATGAAGGGGTTAATCCTCCCGTGGGGTTCCAATCAATAGGTAATGACTGGGCCACACGGATCCAGGTCATGGGATGCTTTGATCCATGCCACGTGGCGCTTAGAAAAGTGTATCTGTTGTACTTGCTGATGAACCATATTCTCAAACATTTTCTCTATTAGATTTCTGCATCCAGACTTCTTTCAGACAAATTATTTGTACAGTCGTTTCCATAACCTTAGACTCTGTCAAACAGAAACATAAAACTGACATTAAGAGTTCCGTTTCGTACTAAAGCACACTGTCTTCAAGGAAAGGGCTATTTTGCAACTTACTCCACGGCCGCTGCCTGACTTTGAACTTCAAGCACACTGAATTATGATTTCACACGCGCGCGCGCGCACGCGCACACGCACACACACACACACACACACACACACACACACACACACACGAGAGGCCTGTAGTTTATATAACCCCCAGGATGTGCAGTCATATATTTTATCGATTCACATTCGTAGAGCAGACATACACAAATGCCACTTGTCCCTGACTTATAACATAATTAAGCCACAGTGAATGTATTATGAACATTTAAACTGAGGGTCATGAATACCAAACACACGTATACACTGAACAAACACTTTATTAAAGATCCATAGGTCTCCCTGTGGCTTTTCAATGATTTGCTTGGAAATCTAACAAAATTTGAAAATAATAAGCTAGTTTCCCTGACAATAGAAAACAAAGCTGGGAAACAACAACAAACAAAAAATGCAGAAAACTAACTTAGGAAAGCACTGAAAGGTGCCCCCACTGAGAGAAAAGAATAACACAAGTGAACTAAGGTAGTTACAGTGAGATTTCTAAAGCCCAATGATACAATGATATTCTCTGAGCAGTTATGAGGGTAAAATTCCACTGGACCGAAGGAAAGAATGACTACCTATCTTTGTTCACCTTCAGATTCTTTAAAGAATAAAAGAGGTACGATACGAAAATAGAATTTAAAAAAATTACTGGCAACATTTAACATCCAAGAATCCTTCAAAGTACCAAGATTCTCAGAATATCTGAGAGGGAAGGATATCATTTAAAAAGAAAACTGTTCCTACCAATATCTTACAAGGAAAAAGAAAAAATATCCAACCATAATAACTCTTCTCTTTACCAATTTTATTAACATTATTTAAAGTATTTTCACAATCCTAAATGCGTTAGTATATATTTGTTATAAAATCCTTGAAAAATCTTGAAAAGAAATAACTACCCTCAAGTACACACACACACACACACACACACACACACACACACAATTTTTGACAAATTAGGCATGAAGATTTGCATCCTTTTAAATTTTAGATAATTTTGAAAATACTCTCTCATGTTATCAACTAATCTTCAAAAGCTTCAGTTACTGACGTGTAACAGTCTGTCATGTATCCTCTTAGCTCGAGCTATCTGCCAAAATTGACATAACCATTCCTCTATTTTGGACACTGAGATTCCCTTCATGTTTCTAATATTTATGAATAATGTTAGAAATTAAATTTTACCAGGCAAAACATCCCAGTGTATAACTGATTTTTACTAGAAGATATATTCAGAGAAATGGAATCACTCAGTTAAATGAGTACTACGTTTTAAGATTGACCATTAATACTCCATTAAGTTGCTCTTGAGAAATGCTACGTGCCCAGTACACTCTCAGCCATTACACCTATTTTGTGTGATTCTTTAGGCTGGAAAAGAGGAGCCTCAACTAGTTAGGATACAGAATTAGCATCATCAGTTAAAAACTGCCAATGGTTATTCTACTGTGCCTTGTGGGTTAAGCCAAGAGGGTTCTGAAAGTAACAGTATGAAAGAATGTACCATGCCTTCACTAGAGGAATTTACAACTAGAAACAAAACTACATAATTCAGCACGTGTGCCACCTCCACCCGAACCCCCGCCCCCCGTTTCTAGGCTGACTTATTTGCAAAGGCTCCTTGGACTGAATAAAAACTACTCTCCTCTAAGAATTTATTTTTGGTTCAACTTAATATCCTTATTTCAAAGAAAAGGACCAATGACAACTCACTAAAGCCTCAGAAGCATCACCAGTCACACCTTGAAGGCTAGAGGAATGCCAACTCCTGGCACACGTACATGTTTACATACTCAGTGGACCTCTTGAAAATGTGCCTCTGCATTAAAACTGTGTTTTTATCATGAAAGCATTATATGTTCTTATTTTTAAAAGTTCACCTCATGCTGTGTTGGCTCAACTTTGCCCCACCCTCGTCCCACACCTAACGCAACCCTACCCTGGCCAACAGTGCGGGCACCCCGGCACATCACCACACTGCACTGTCCTTCTCGTGGGCTCTAGTTTACAAACATGGAAACACGGGATACATACTGCTGTCACTTGCTTTTCATATTTGGATACTTTAAAATATACAACTGTCTGAAATAAAGTGCTTGTCTTTGAAAGGAAAAAGAACAGACTGGCAGTGATGCCCTGGTGGAGTATCTCTGCAAAGATACGTAAGATACTCTTAACACTTGTTGCCTCTGGGGCGGGGGACCGGGCATTGCGGTGGGGCGGGGAGCAGAGAAGCGGGATTTTCACTGTATCATTTTTTTTTTTGTATCTTCCGAAGTTTTAATTTTGTGCATTGTAGGTGTTTTTTGCTGTGCAATTGTTAAATATACGTAATACACGCACACACACACACAAACCCATACAGAGACATACACACGCATGAGAAAATCAAGTGCTATGCAGGACTCGATTTCCAGCCTGCCACTCACCCTGATGCTGGTGTAGCAAATGCTGTATACTTGCTGCCTGTGTGGCTGGGTCTCACTTCTGGCCTTTCAGTCATTCTAGATGAAGCATGGTTAGACCCCACCAGCTGTACCCCTGAATGGGAACTTTTCTGTTTCATCAGAGAAGTGGAACAAGCCTTTATACCCTTACTGCCTTTCAGGACTTGCCAAAAGGGACAAGATGGGAAATTTAAAAAAAAAAAAAGAGTACAGGAATCGTTAAACTTGAATGAATTTAGAATTTCATTTCCAGGATGCAACGTGATGGAAAAATGACCATCTCAACATCTGACGGTCAGATAAAGCCTGTGAGCCCAATCATTTAAATAAACTGATTACGGGTAGCTCACCCATGTGAGAAGTATAACTTCTGAAAAGCTGCCAAGATCAGTGCTGAATAAATGCTGAATGAAGTGCTGAATAAATGGATGAATAAATGGATGTATTTGATTTTAAAGGGATTTAAACATGCTTGCCCCAAAATTAAACTTCAAAACTTTAGGGTCAAGTGTTTAATAAACTATTTTTTACTATGAACTCCCAAGCTGAAAATGTTTAGGGACAGGGAATCACAACCAGTTCATCTCTACCCACTCAGTACCTAACACAGAACATGGGCTCAATAAATGCGAGACAGATTCATACAGACAATAATATTATTCTACTTAATGTCTGTGTGGATATACACTAAATTAATGTTTGCCTTTTAAAAAATGTCTTGACGGTAAAGACCAGAATGATGCCAATCCACTTGAGAAAAGAGCATTCACACCTTCTACTGTTTACTTTTAGTCCAGATATTTAAAACGCAGATAGTACACAATCAAGAAAAGCCACATGATTTAAATTTCTCCCGACGACCCTTGGTATGTAAAAAATAGATATATTTACTAACACAAAACAGTGACAGCATTTCAGGTCAGCAAGAACCAACTTGCCATATAAAGTACAGCTACACAAAAACAGGTAATAATTCCTGACATTACCTAATACTAAATACACTCTGTATTATTCAGTATGACGTAATGGTGTCACTGACATTTATTTAAGACTTGTTTTGGTATTTATTCTTCCTATATCAAAGTATACCAGCCAGAGCCTTAATTTCAACACTGACTTTGGCCTTTGAGAAGATTTTACATAATGGTTATGGTTTTTCAGCGGTGACTATTCACTACTCCCTTCCCAAGTGCATTACTTAGCCAAAACTTGAACTAGAATCACTGCTAAAACTAAGAACAGCTTCTTACTGCAGCCTGTAGACTTCAGTGGCCCTATGCTCTTGGTCCTGTAAGCTGATTGTCCCTGCGGTAGTAACCAAGAGAATCATCTTTGAAGGAGAGGAAAAGCACAGACACCGGGGCTTCCCTGGTGGCGCAGTGCTTGAGAGTCCGCCTGCCGATGCAGGAGACGCGGG